AAAATATTTGTTCTGAGTCAACACAAAACAAAAATGGAATGAAATAGAAATGTGGTTCAAAGCCTGATAAATAATAGAATTGCAGTCCCAGCCACAGTGCCTCGCCCAGCTTAATACTATGTAAGGTGTGACAGCGCACACTCAGGCGGAAAACAATCTGGGTTGAAAATAGCCACATTTATTGATTACAGGTGTAGGTGAAACTTTGGCGTGGGCATTGGGTGTATATCCACTCCAGCCTCCTGGTGGAGGGCTAGAACCACTTGAGAGTCAAGCCAAAGATTTGGCCTCCCCAAGATGCCAGGCTACTAGGTGGCTGTCCTAAGACTGCCACTGGAAGCCCTATGACCTGTCTGCACCCACGTTTGGCTTATGGATAGGGACACCCTCTGAGACCTCTCTAATGGGGTACCCAGAATACACCGCTGCTTCAGTACTGGTTGATGCACCAGTGACGTGGGTGGCGCTGTGGTCTAAACCACTGAGCCCTTTCGGTTTGCCAATTGGAAGGTCGCGGTTCAAATCCCTGTGACGGAGTGAGCTCCCGTTGCTCTGTCCCAGCTCCTGCCAATCTAGCAGTTCAAAAGCATGCCAGTGCAAGTAAATAAATAGAGACTGCTGTGCCAGGAAGGTAAAACAGCATTTCCATGTGTTCCTGTTTCCATCACAGTGTTCCATTGTGCCAGAAGCGGTTTAGGTCATGCTGGCCACATGATCCAGAAAGCTTTCTGTGGACAAACGCCAGCTCCCTCGGCCTGAAAGCGAGATGAGCACCGCAACCCTACAGTCACCTTTGACTGGACTTAACTGTCCAGGGGTCCTTTAGCTTTACCCTTTTACTGGTTGAGGCACCACTTCACCCAATGCTTGAAGACTAGGATTCCACCCAGTGCCTTAACCACCAAAAGTTGTGGCATTTTGCTATGGGAAAAGCAAAACCTCTAGACCAGCCAATTTGTCTGTAGGAAATTCCTTCCTGGCTCTGAATACGGCAACCATAGCAAGGTCAAGAACCACTGAGTGTTTTTACTGAATAAAACCTAGAGAGGAAAGGAAAGTTAAATAATAACCTGAAAAGAAAAGAAAAATCTAACTTCAGGAGGGAAAGAGGCCAGCAAGCTACCTTCCTTTTTCCTATGACATCCTTTCCCATTCCACTTTACTATGAAGTGGCTTCTGCAATGGGCATACAGAGTGATATTTCCCATAAGGCACCATAAGAATTCCCACAGCCCTACTAGTACATCTGCCATTCAACAGTAAGCATCTTGGGAGTCCACTTTTAAACCTAGAGAACCTTGTCAGAAGAAGAGACAAAACAGAGCGGCTTTCTCCTCCACAGAACTTCAGCTAGATATGTAGGTATAGGTGAGAAAAACGAGATATCATAACTGTCAATACAATACATTTGTATAGGGAAGGTTTTTGATGTGTAAAGATTTATTATGCTTTTATATATGTTGGAAGCCACCCATAGTGGCTGGGGCAACCCAGTCAGGTGAGCAGGGTACAAATGACAAAATGATTATTATTAAATTATTATTTGAAGTATTATAACTCATGGTATTAGGGTAAGCCCACCCCACTAGAATGAGGTGGCTGCCTCAGGTAGCTAATTCCATACCCCGCAAGAATCCTGGGAAAATCAGAGCATGGAGGCCATTTTGGGTGCTGTGATCTCATGCTGAGACCTCAGACAAACCCCAAGTGCTTTTGGGGGATGCAATCTCATTGTTGTTGTTGTTTAGTCATTTAGGTCCGACTCTTCGTGACCCCATGGACCAGAGCACGCCAGGCACTCCTGTCTTCCACTGCCTCCCACAGTTTGGTCAAGCTCATGTTGGCAGCTTTGAGAACACTGTCCAACCATCTCGTCCTCTTTTGTCCCCTTCTCCTTGTGCCCTCAATCTTTCCCAACATCAGGGTCTTTTCCAGGGAGTCTTCTCCTCTCATGAGGTGGCCAAAGTATTGGAGCCTCAGCTTCAGGATCTGTCCTTCCAGTGAGCACTCAGGGCTGATTTCCTTAAGAATGGATAGGTTTGATCTTCTTGCAGTCCATGGGACTCTCAAGAGTCTCCTCCAGCACCATAATTCAAAAGCATCAATTATTTGGCGATCAGCCTTCTTTATGGTCCAACTCTCACTTCCATACATCACTACTGGGAAAACCATAGCTTTAACTATATGGACCTTTGTCGGCAAGGTGATGTCTCTGCCTTTTAAGATCACTGCCTTGTCGTGGCGAAGGGGCTTGAATAACTCAAAGAAGCTATGAGTTATGCCGTGCAGGGACAGCCAATATGGACAGGTCATAGTGGAGAGTTTTGACCAAATGTGATCCACCTGGACCAGCAACCAGCAAGCCACTCCAGTATCCCTGCCAAGAAAACTCCATGGACAAAGACAACAGGCATACAATCTCATACGGTGCCCCAAAACACATATTTTATCAGTGCTGTGAGAGCACATTCCCAATAAAACTGTCTTTCAGGCTCCTTAAGCTCACATGGGTCATGTAACTTCTGCAGAAGCACGGATGGGAAGGCACACATCCTAGTTTTGGGACCCAACATGTTGATGGGTATGTAATTTTGGGTGTCACGAAAGGAGAACAAATTTTAGAAGTACAAAATTCTTTTTTCAGCTACTCCAAAACAGTTGAATGATGACCGAGTTTGCTCAGAAGCCACAGAATGTAGAGTGACAATTGGAAAAGGAAAATGGGAATTCAGCGAAGGGGGAAGTGGGATGCCCTGTTCAAAAGGGATGGGTGGCTGGCTGGAACCTTGAAAGGGAACATTCATTTTACAAGGGAGGATGTACTGCAACAATTTGTTCCCCAGTCCTTTGTTACAGGACTATTTGAAGCTCAGGAGCTTCTTTTATTACACTAATGCTAGACCTACAAGGGGGGCAAACGACAAGTATGAAGTCCCAGCTATGTTTCCCAAACTTGGGTTGCCACCTGTTTTCTGGACTACAACTCCCGTCATCCCTAGCTAGCAAGACCAGTGGTCATGGATGATGGGAACTGAAGTCCAAAAACAGCTGGAGACCTGATGGACTATATGGAATTGGCGGAAATGACTGGCAGAATCCGTGACCAGGGAGAAGAGTCGGTGGAAGAAGATTGGAAGAAATTCAAAGATTACTTACAGAAATATTGCAAAATTAAAGAATGTTAGAGTGATGATGGATTGAAATTAAGTGGCTTCTAGCTGTACAGGTTTTAAAGTTATATATAGATCAAGATTAAGGATTAGGATTAAAGGTTAAAAGAATGGAAAATTGGTTTTTAATAGGTAAAAATTTAATGTTATATTATATTAAGATTAAGGATTGGGATTAAAAAGGAGGGAAAGGAATTGCTGGACAAACAAACTGAATTGGAATACAAAAGAGGGAGGTATGAGGAGGTCCGGGAAATAAGTAAATGTAAAAGTAGTGATGAAAAGATGGAATTGTTTTTAACTGTTTTTTCTTTTTTCTTTTTGTATTTTGTATTGTGTATTTTTCTTTTTATCTTTAAATTCTTTTTTTTCCTTTCATTAATGTGTCTCTTTTCATGTGAAACTTTAATAAATATCATTTAAAAAAACAGCTGGAGACCCAAGTTTGGGAAACAATGGCCCAACTCTATGGGACTCCCTCTCAATTTGCCCCTGGCAAAGTTTAGGCGACAGGTCAAAACCAGTGCTTTTTTCTAGAAAAATAGGTACTAGTACCCACCATGAAGTTGTTACAGTAAGTGCCACTCTCTTTAACAACAAAACGGTGCCGGTACTGAGTACCCATGAGTACCCCTTAAAACCTGCACTGGTCAAAACCATTTTATTTCAGGAGGCCTTTGCACCGTGAATGCTGCTCTTATTGTTCTTATTTTCTGATGTTTTAATCGATGTTTTAATTTTTTTTCTTTGTAAGAATCTTTGAGACACAAACTAAAATATCTAGTTTCCCATGCATCTTTCACAGAATGATTATTTTTTTAAAAAAAAAAAGCTTTCCAACGTCTTCCATTTGTCATGTACTCCAACAAAATAATGAAGGCCAGTCAACAGCAATCATCGGCAACATGTGCTGCGAAGTGAATCATTCCAAGCTGATTCTGCCCCTTCTTGTGACTAATGGTAGCTGATCCAGAAACAGCGAATTCACTGTGTACACAGTCCAGGTCTGGCTATGGCTGATACATTTGATAAACAGCTTCAGCTGCAGGACTGCCAGTTACAGCCAGGAAGGCAGATGTTGTCACTCAAATTGCCAGTTAATAAGGTGCAAGCCAGGCTGAGAAGCCAGATAGCCTTTACTCTCAGAGCACCGGCCAGCGGCAGGCGAGAAACTATAGCATGAATCACCAGCCACAGAAACAAACATTATCTGTAGAAAGCGAGGCACTAAGCTTCAACTCTGATTAGAAACTACGTTTTCCGACCTGGAAGCTCTGCTGCCAAATCCTAGGTGATTGAGGACCAAACGAGCCACAATATTAAACACATCACCTGAAGTGCTGCGTTGGCTTATTATTAGCTGCCACAGAGACAGGAGAGGGCAAGGCTCTTTGGGACAAAGGCATGGAAGGAGGAACATGGAAGCGTTGCCTCCTGGCGCAGCCCCAACAAAAACCACCCATCCCCTGTTATGTACTAAGCTTGGATCCTAGAACAATAGGCAGGTAGGATCCTAGAATGCAACAACTGATTGGCTTGCAGGAGAAGACCAATCAGGCTCCAGGAGGAAGTTAATCAGCCTATTAGGCTGGTAGGTTTGTAGAATGCAACAACCGATTGGCCTGCAGGAGAAGACCAATCAGGCTCTAGGATGGAAGCAGAATCAGCCAATCAGACGGGACTCATTGTGTAAATAATGTATATAAAAGCCTGAGATTTGGGGGGAAATATGATCACTGTTTTACAAGCTGCAATAAAGAGCATGAAATCACTGCAGGACTCTGAGTATATTTCGCTCCCCATCCCCTGTGGCAACTAATAGCATTATAAGCTCAGGGATATCTCAGATGGTAGAGCATGAGACTCCTAATCTCAGTAGTGTGGGTTCAAGCCCCACGTTGGGCAAAAGATTCCTGCATTGCAGGCAGTTGGGCTAGATCAGGGGTCACCAACCTAAGGCCTGGGGACTGGATCTGGCCCAATTGCCTTCTCAGTCCGGCCTGCAGATGGTCCAGGAATCAGCGTGTTTTTACATGAGTAGAATGTGTCCTTTTATTTAAAATGCCTCTCTGGGTTAGTTGTGGGGCCTGCCTGGTGTTTTTACATGAGTAGAATGTGTGCTTTTATTTAAAATGCATCTCTCGGTTATTTGTGGGGCATAGGAATTTGTTCATTTCCCCCCGCAAAATATAGTGCGGCCCCACCACATGATCTGAGGGATGGGGGACTGGCCCACGGCTGAAAAAGGCTGCTGACCCCTGGACTAGATGATCCTTGTGGTCCCTTCCAACTCTATGATTATACAATAAGGTAAACTTTCATAGGTGCCTATGGAAGCTTCTAGGATTTATTATAGCCACCATAGTGGCAGACTGACATTCATCAATGGCATGTGATGGACAGCTGGTGGGGTGGGTCAGCACAGCATACTTGGTCTCCCATCAGCCACGTCATTGTGCTTGCTGCATACCCTTTCAAGTGTCCCTATTTTCCAGGGACAGTGGAATGGCTTACAAAAGCCATTGTGAATTCTGATTTGATCCCAGAATGTCCCTGGTTGCTGCTGCCAAGTTCAGGGAAGAGGATGAGCCACTGCCTGTTCTTGGCAGTGGCGGCAGCGAAGGAGCATCTCATTGCCTCTCCATGGCTGCCACTGCCAGCCTCCTCCCTCTGGCAGCTCATAGCAGCTGCTGGAGAGTGGGCAAGGTGGATGAGAGGGTGTCGCTGCCAAGACCCAGGCTCGTGTGACATGCTGATTCTGAGGTGCAGACAGAGGGCAGGGCCGCCATGGGCAGGAAGAAAGGGGGAGCGGAGTACAATGTTTAATCCATTTATTCTAGCAGTTCACTCATCGTAGCCTTCCCCAACACCTCCAGTTGTTGTTAGACAATAATGTCCATCAGCCCAAGCCACCATGAAGGCCATTTGATCTTCTGTGGCAGAAGTGGCTAATCTGGGTCCATGCAGATTTTCTTAGACTCCAACTTCCATCAGTCCCAGTTGGTGTGGCCAACGGTCAAGAGATGATGGAGTTGTAATCCGACAGGTTTGCCACTTCTACTCCACGGTGAAGGAATGATCGCCGGGTGTTGAGCACACTACCACCCGTTGGGTGTGGAGCACACTTCCACCTGCAGACAGGCCTCAGCTGTCTGAACATCACGCCATCTTAGTGGCACTTAGTGGTCTGCTGTGCCCTGTCTGTGACCTTTGTCTCTTTCGTCATACATTGTTCAAGGGGAAAATGACGCGGTAGAAACAGGTGCCAAAATAACTATGTACCACCCCATGATCGCGGGATTGGAAGATGTGTAAAGATCACAGTCCAAAATATATCTGACTGGTTTTGCATATTGTGCTAATAAAAAGAGCCTCTACAGAGCTAGCAGGCAGCTTGTCTTGGAGCATGCTTGCCAGCATGCTTCTGCACAGCTCACCTGCATCCAACCCCCTGTCGTCCTCCGTTATTCCTACACCACGGAGTACTCAAAGTACAAAAGCCCTCTAAGAATTTACATTCTCAGGCAACCACTGAGAAATGGTGAAAAACTAGGAAGTAATATGGAAGGAGTGGGAGGAGAGACTGTAGAGTTTGAAATTTTACGTAAATAATGTGAGGAAAGAAGGGCGCACTATGTGTGAGGAGCATCGCAAGTGAAGAAAGAGAAGGGGGAGCACCTGGGAAATAGAAAAGTTTTAGACAAAGTGCACAAGTTTGCTAATAAGCCACAAATAAAAGCAAAAGGCTAGGCAATCCTTGGAAAGTGAGTGCCCCACTGCCGAGGCTACAGCAGCCGCACGGCGCCAAAGTTCATACGAGATGCTCGCCTTTAAATTAAATGTGCCACAAAATTCCCTTGCTCACCCAACTTCACTCGAGTCATTATTCTTGGATGTCAGCTACACATCAAATTGAATGCTGAATACATCTGTAGAGATTCAGGCAAGATGCGGGAGGTTTGCTCTTTCTGTTGCCCTTTTGTCGTTCTTTTTTTTATAGATGAGCAAAGGAAGCTTCAGTTTAATTCCTCTTCTTTCCCTCATGGAGCTCTGGAGAATGAGACAAGCTAGATACCTGGCTTCTCACTTGATGCAATTTGAAGTTTCTCTGTAGACCAACGAACCGTTGAGGAAAGTTGTGGGGCAGAACCTTTTTCTAAAAAGGGGTTAGTTCAAATTAATATTGAGGATTTCTGCTGACCACACTCAGGGGAGCTAACACTTCCAATACCTTTGTGGTTCTGCTAAGATTCTCTGAAGAATTTCAACAGATGCGAGTTGAGAGGGGAAAGGATACACAAAAACTTACCGAAACTGAAAGTGAGCTGGAATGTGGGGAGAGGGAGGACAGTAAATAGGAAGCAGCTGTAGGAGAGAGATTTGATTCAGTGGGTCTTTAAAGGCTCTAAGTCTCTTTAGGTTGCCTTGGGCAAGATAATGCAACTAACAAATTTACTAATAATAATGGTGAACCAACATCATTCACACTTTCCTAAATGATATGCAAACCAAAACAGCTATCCTTCTTTGTGTTGCAGTTTGTCAGAAAAAGTAATAAAGGAGGCTGCCTGGGAGGGGGGAGGTAAAAGCACATGGATCCTCAGGAGTTTTGCATTGGGTCACCCCAAATTCACCATCAGATCACATAGCATGTCCATGGCTATAGTCTGCATCAAAAAATCCCGCATCCACTGTTTCGTGGGGCCGCAATGGCACAAAAATGTAGTTACAAAGCACAGATCCACATGGATCCTCAGGATTTTTGCATTGGGCTACCCCAAACTCACCGTCAAATCACATATCATGTCTGTAGCCACAACATGAACCACAAAAATCATACATCCACTGTTTCATTCAGAATATTTTTTTTCTTGCTTTCCTCCTCTAAAAACTAGGTGCGTCTTGTGGTCAGGTGCATCTTATGGAGCGAAAAATATGGGTATGTACAAAAATGCATATAGTACTGACAATAACATCCAAAATATATGTTTTATTAGGGGATTTGCATTGCAAAAATATGTATCTTAGGTGTGTATCTTCTATCAACCAACCTGCTACAGGTTTATAATTATTTGGCAGGGTTAACCATGGTTAAGAATCACACATCAAATCAGGGTGACCCCTCCAAGATCCCCATTTTGGGTGTGCTATGGCTCATCAGCCCTGTCTGGGCATCCGGACGGAAGTACCTCCCACTGGATTGGGATTGGGATTAAAAAAGTGGAAAAGAAATTGCTGGACAAACAATTTGGACTGGAATACAAAAGAGGGAGGTATGAGGAAGTCCAGAAAATAAGTAAATTCAAAAACGGAAATGGAAAAGTGATATTGTTTTTAATTGTTCTGGGGGTTTTTTGTTTCTTTTGTATTTTGTTTTCTGTGTTTTCCTTTTCTTTTTGGATTATGTATTGTGTATTTTTGTACTTCTACTTTTATGTTTTTCTGTTTAACTTCTTATTGAAACCTTAATAAAAATCATTTAAAAAAAAAAAAAAGGAAGTACCTCCCACTGGATTGCTTTAACAGAATATCCTGGTTCCTTGGACTGGGTGGTAGGGGCTTCTGCCTCCTGCCTCCCCCCGCAATTCCATGTTGACTAAGAATCCAACCCAATGCCTTATCTGCTATCAAGTTGCAAAAGTTGCTACGAAGTAGGCAAAATCCCCTTGACAGGCCCAATCTTGTCTGAAGGATAATTCTCCCTGGCCCCGAATACCGCACCCAAATATTCCCAAATAGAAGATATTTGGCAAGACCTGCCCAATTACTTCTGGGCAGGTCTTCAGCATAATGCTTAGGGTAGGTGGGTGGAGAATCCAGTGCCAACTGAGGCCAAGTGCAGGGTGCAGCTGGCATAAATAGCCATGGAGTGGACCAGAAGAAGTTTTCCTCTGGTCTGGTCCCAAAGCCATACCCCCGTCCCCAACTTGTCCCATGATTTGCTGCAATCACAGGTGAGCCCCAGCAGGCAGCGTGGCCTGTAAGGAGGAAGTAACATTTTCCCCCAGCCTGCACCAAAACCGGAAATCTGCCTGGCACCACCATGGCCATGCCAGACCACAACCACCAGTCACCTCTAGCAGCCACTGAGTGGCCCTTTCCTTTTATATTCCAAATGTACCGTTAAAGGATTGTTTCGACTGTCTTTCAGGCCACCCATATCTGTGGAATTGTACAGTAATTCCTCTGCCTATTCTTTTATCATTTCATTTTTTAAAATGATTTATTATTCTTTCTGAATCCTCGCAAAACCCTTCAACTTCCAGTCATATTTCTGTTAGATTCAACAGGACCTTCTTTCTGAAGCGGGAATGTTTTCTGCTAATTACAAAGCCTTCATTCTTGTAACAGTACAGGTTATATATATATATATATATATATATATATAATATCAACATGTGTATTACATTACAACAGATTTTCCTCAGTACTTCACTATGAATGTGGCAGCATTCTTGTCAGCTAACTGCTCCTGTGAAGAACAATGGCAGGCTATCGATGACAAAGAAGAACTGTCTAATTAGTCTACATTTTTCAAAGAATAATTGCCTGTCAAGTGGTTAAACCATCTTTCTGGAAACACATTTCCCAAAGCTGCAATTGAAATTACAGGTATGCTCATGTGGATCCCTGGTAATATAAATCTTTCTAAAGAAGCTGTCCCACTTCTATTGTTTCATACAAAAATATATTTCCACTGTTATTTTATGTTGGAACTACAGACCATAAAATTAAGTGGGGGGCGAGGGGGGGGATATATTTAAAGGGCATTCAGATCTCCAGAAGCTGTTCCGTGCAAACAGTGTGCAGTAGCTCATTCCAAATAACAAGGCCAAGAACTTATTTTACGTTTCATGGCAAGTGTTCCCCATTTAGAATGGTCTAAAACACAGCTATTAGAGCCC